TGTATCCTGATGGTCAAGAATGTTGCCCTGACTCTGTTTCATCATCTATGAGTTGGCCAAGGTGTTGCAAGGGTTAAATGAAGATGACGTGCTAGGTAAGTCTCTTCATCAGGCTCCTTACACAGCCTTACACAGACTTCCCTGAAATACGAGGCTTTAAGTGGCCAAGCCCTATGTCCCGTGTCATTAAACACGAAGGCCAAATAATGGACATGCACTTGGCCTACAGGGGCAGCAACTCCTGCTCCTGCTGCCCTGGGTGCCTGGGCCCTGAGACCTGTGGGTACAAAGAGATTGCGGTGAGAGCAGACCGAGGCGCCCAACTTGCTTCCAGCTCTGCAAGGTCACAGAGGGAAACAGCAAGCTCTCCTCTCAGTGGGAGAGTCAGCCTGCCACCAGCCATCAAGTAAAGCCGTAGAGCTCCTGGATTCCTCTCTGCTGGCTTCCCATGTTGTAACTATGCCCTGATCTTTGGGTCAGAGAATGAGGTGGGTGGGGGAGAGTGGAATGATTTGCCTGAGGGCTTAAAACCCAAGGAGGCACTGCTAAACCACAAAGAATTCACTCTGGGGGCTGACAGTCATCAGCCTGCCCCAGTGAGGGTGATGCTAGGAGAAATTCATACTCAGAGTGTGAGGGGTAAAAGGAAATGAGAAGGCTGGTTTCTGAAGTTCTCAGAAGATGATGCCTCTGAGGTGGGTTTTTTTTTAAGGGAAATTCTTGAGCTGTAGCTCAACCAAGGATACTTGGATGAGTGGACGGAAGCAGTCTCAGGATGAACTTCCAGGTACCTGCAAAGGGCCCAGCGTTGAGCCTAGGGCATTCCTAGGTGCAGCTGCAAATCAAGGTTCATTTGCCCAGGAACACTAGAGCCAGGTTTTAGAGCCACTCCTATATGAGCTATAATAAGATAATGAACTCCTAAGGGCAGGATGGCTCTTACCCAGAGGGTAAAGCATCTGCCTGCAATGTGGGAGACTGGGGTTCGATTCCTGCGTGGGGAAGATCCCCTGGAGAAGGAAATGGCAAGCCACTCCAGTACTCTTGCCTGGAAAATTCCATGGAAGGAGGAGCCTGGTAAACTACAGTCCATGGGATTGCAAAGAGTCACACATGACTGCGCAATTTCACTTGTAAGGGCAGGATTGAGGAGGGGCTGGCTTTGTTTCTACTATTTGCATATAGAGGACAGGAAGCCCACTAAATGTGGGGGTGAATCAAGTGCAAACTTACATCAGGCTGGTCACTTGGTTTCTTACAAGAGAAATGACACAAAGTAACTTCAGTCTCTCTCAATTCAGAAAAGGAAGGAGGGAAGGGTCAGGAAAAAGGCTAGTGCTTGGAGTACAAAAGTAATTTTGGGAGGAGAAAGGAATTTCAAAGAAGCTAATGAAATGAAGTTACTTGGGTCTCCACTATTGAAGATACTGCCAAGGTGTCTTTAGAAGTAGCTGCTCAGTAAACAATGGAAAGAATTTGGACCTTCTGTACCCAGACTAAAAACACACAACATACACACACACACACACACAATCAAATACACACTCAGGAAGGCTCAAATGAGTTTTGGGGGAAATTATATGGTCTGCCAAAACTTCTTGCCCATTATTAACGGAACACCCAGAGAGCACATAGACTCTGACACAGAAAAACAATTCCAGTGGGGCCATTGCAACTCTAGACCAAGGAATCTTCTCCATTGGGCACAGAATCTTCTGGATAACATGTCCTGGCATCTAAGAGGACATGTCATATTTTGCTTTAAGGGGTAAAAGGTCACGTGCATATGCTTTCTAAATTCTAAAAACCTTGGGAAGGTTTCACACCAAAGATTGTTTTTTAAAAATCGAATCAACATGATATTTCTGAATCCTTTCAGTCATGGATCGGGAGCTGAGAGATAAGAAAAGAGGCATTTCACTGAAAAAAAATAATAGTGGGAGTCCTCTGGGACTAGAGCTGGACCAGGCTTTAACAGTTTCATTCATATTCAGAAATTTGAATATTTAGGTTTGCAGGTAACTCTAAGCTTTTCAGGACAGTGAAATGTCAAACTGTTAGAAATAGAGCATAGGAGAGTTTCCCAAGGTGGTCTGAGTAGGAAGAAAAATAGCTGGGAAGAGGGCAGACCTGAGATCATTTCTGAAATGGTCTCAGGATTATCAGTTCAGAGATCCCAGAAGACATCAGCAGCTTCATATAGTACTGCAGGCAACAGGAAAAAAAATTAGCAAAAAATCCAGACATTGTTAGGAAAAGTATCACAAACCATAGAAAGCATTACCTCTTATATAAACCACACTGCTGAGATTTAAGCTTGAAGTTGTGTCTACTGCAGATCTGGGAGTAGAGACTCCCAGAGTGGGTCACTGGGACTCCCAGGTGGAGGGTGCCCAGGTGGTGAAGAACTCACCTGGACAGTCTGGAGAATAGGACAGCCAGGAGACAGAGGTTGAGCAGACTTGGAGGAAGGGTATTTGAATAGTCAGAGGCACGGGGAGGTAGACACAGACTACTCACAAGTACCTTCATTTAGACCAAATATTTAAAAAAGGACCCTTACATGAAATTTATATAACTTGATACTTGATGGGATAAAAATTAAAATTGGTTCAGATTGAGTGTAGATGAGTTTATTGGCAATGAATGGTCCCATCTCAGACTATTGAAGGAAGTTCATTACTGACCTTTGCTGGCCGATGAGCTAGACAATAATTGCTCTATTGCCCCGTTACAGGGAATCATCACTATCACTACTGTCAAGGGCTTCATTCTGTCTCTTTCTGTCTTCATCCATCCATCCATCATCCTCTTTCTTTTCTTTCTTCCTCTCTTTCCTTCTCCTTTCTCCCCTTCCTTCCTTCTTTCCTTCCCTCCTTTTTCATTCTTCCTGTCTGTCTGTTCATCTATTAATGTTATCTGTCTGTCTAATCTATCATCTAATCTATTAATCTATAAGATTAGACAGATAAGAAGGACGTTGTTTAAGGATACAAATTGGCAATGAGTAGTAAGTTCTAGAGATCTAATGCACAGTATAGTAAATATAGATGAAATATTGTATTATAATCATCAAACTTCTAAGAGGCTAGGACTTAATCAATCACTAAAAAGAAATAATTATGTAACACAATTTGTTGTTGTTGTTCTTTAGTCACTAAGTCCTGTCTAACTCTTTGTGACCCCATGGGCTGTAGCCCGCCAGGCTCCTCTGTCCATGGGATTTCCCAGGCAAGAGTACTGGAGTGGGTTGCCATTGCCTTCTCCAGGGAATCTTCCCAACCTGGGGTTCGAACCCTCATCTCCTACACTGGCAGATGGATTTTTTACCACTGAGTCACTAGGGAAGCCCCTGTGTAGCCCGGGGATTAGAGATGCTAATTATTGCTACAATGGCAATCATATTATAATATGTAAATGTATCAAGTTAGCAACATTGTACACCTTAAATTTACACAATGTTATGTCAAATATAATTAAATAAAAAGATCATCTGTGTCCATCTTTTAAAAAATAGTAGCATATTAAGTAGTTTTTCTGTACCTTGCTTTTTTCACTTAGTATGACAATACTTAAAATTCTTCATCAGTTCTTTTTACAGCTACATACTATCCCAGCATATGAATGTACCATAATTTGTTTAACCAGCTGACAATGCTTTCAACTATTTTTTTCTATCATAGTTACAGACTAAAATGGCATATGTAGACAGAAAAAGAAAGTTTTCTCAGGCAAAAAGTAAAATGTGATGAAAACCAAAACTTGTAAAGTGCATTTAACATTATCCAGTTCAATGAAAACCTTTTCAACTGTATTCTGAATATTGTGGCTTCAGTTCTGTAATTTCTTTACACAATCTTTACTAGAGTTGAAGGGGGAGGCAGACAATAAACCCAATACCAGATGAATTTGAAGTCATCAAGAGTTGGAGAATAGGAGAAAGGATTTCCTACAAAACCAAATAAATGCCTCTGTTGTTCAATTTGCTCCCTTGCTCTTAAAGCCTCTGGCAAACGTTTGATTTGATCAATTATTATTTCTCCCATAGTCATTTCTGTAAGCCGAAATACACTCAAATCCCTTTACTCATAGCCAGAAAAAATGTTTAGTCTGCTGCTCCCAATAGCTTTTTAACGACACCCCCTGTTTCTTTCCCTCATTAAAGCCACATTATCTATCACGTTGACGCTCCTGCCATAAGCCGAAAACAACCTTGCCAATCGACATCATTACACTGTCTTTTGAGAGTCTTACAGTTCCCATTATGGACCCCTTTACTCTTCTGTTCTTAGATCTTTTCTGTGTCACCAGAGGCATCACCTTGAACCTGGCGCATCTTGGTTCAAGTACCGGTTGTCACCCTCGCCTCCCTTCCTCCAGCCCAGGAGGCCGGCACTGTGGCCACCTGGGGATGCGTCTTACTTGGCGAGCTCTCGCTTCTCGTCCTCTATGGCTCGCACGGCCTTGCGCTCCAAGCTCCTGAGAGACGGGCGGAGACAGTAGAGCTTGACGTCGCACAGGCAGCACGGGTGGAGGTCGCAGAGGCCGCAGGAGCGCGGCCGCTTGGAGTAGCAGAGGCAGTAGGGGTAGGGATGCAGGTCGCAGCAGCAGTAGGGGTGCATGTACAGGTCGCACAGGCACCGGGCGCTGAGCTCGTCGATGCATCTCAGCTGCCTCAGCTCCCTGTCCACCCTCTTGATGTCCCTCCTGACACTGTCCAGAAGACAACTCAGTGCAGCCATCGCAGTCACACCTCGTTGTTCTGTGAGTACCTTTGGGAAATGGCACTCGGGGGGGAAAAATTGTTCTAAGCTCTTCTCAGAGGTTTCTTTTAAAAATAAATGAGGCACGCATGGTTCGCTCACTTCAAAGCTTGGGTTCTATGACCTCACCACCCGCTTAAGTATGTCATAGTCTCTCGGTTGCCACGAGAACTGTACACAGCCAAGCTCTCCAGAGGCCCTCCTTAGAGTTACAGAGCTCCTCTCAGAACCACCCTAACGTTAAGATTTCATTCACCTTGAAGGGGGGTGGGCCCCCCGCATCATCACAGTTCCTTGGGGTTCATTGGGCTAAATCGTCCTGCTCTTGTGTGTGTGTGTCCTCTGGATTAGCCACAGCAATGAAGATCTTAGTGCGCAGGGTAGAAGGAGCTGCCTGGCTCCTTCCGTCAGGACCTTCTCGCTCCAGCCTCCACATCTAGCCTTGCCCCTTATGCTCTAGGATTCATTCTGGCTTCTAATCCTTTATTGGTAGAATATTAAGAGCTCCCCAGGGGTTCTTCTTACCAAGCTAACCTTGAGTCAACCTTTGTCCTTGACCACCTGAGCCCCCCATCTCTGGGTCCTGCCCATTCTTTATCAGCTGGCATCCTGGCTATCCTAGGACCTCAGTTCTCCTGTGACCAGGGTCCTGCTCTTAAGCTCCCATCTCTCAGAGCTCAGAGTCTTGTCCTGTCACCACCTCCCAGCAACTATGCCTCTGGTCTTACGTCCAAGCTGCCAGATTCCCTATTCCCAAGTGCTTCCCAAGTGTTGGTCCCTGATACTTAGAGCCAACTGCCTGAAGTTGCCTGAAACCAAGTGTCTGAAACCCTGACTTGGGCCAGTTTTCTATGCTCTCAGCTGGGTCAACACACTGGACCTGGGGCTCAGCCCTCAGCCTTGGCTCAGGTACTTCTGCTCCTCTGAGCCATTCCCCTCAAACTGCTCTCTGCCTCACAAATTCTCTTTTAGTGGACCAAGGCCTAGGGTACTTGAGGACAAGTGGTTGGAGGTGGCATTGGAGACGGAGACAAGGGCTGGGTTTAAAGGGACTTGTGGCCAGTTAGGGCGTTTGAACTTTATTTTGAACACAATGTGGACTCACTGCTTTTCCTTTCTGTTGAGAGAAGTTGAAAGGTAAGCCACACTGAAGGTGGAGCATGAGGGGGGAAATAGTAGCAATGTCTTCTGCTGGAAGGCAGTAGACAGGCAAATTCAAGGCTGGGGACCATGGTCGTCGAAGTGGCAGGAAGGAAGCTAATGGGCTGTCTTTCTCTACCCCCCCACATCTGCTCAGGTGCTACCTAATCCACTCTCTATGTTGTAGCCAGAATGATGTTCATGCATAAATCTATTACCCTTCGACTCTACCCTCCCCTCAAAGTCTTCAGATTCTTCTCTGTCCTCTTAGGAGAAGGCCCAACATCCTTAGAAGATGTGGAACAGCAGGGCCTCTGCCTGCCTCTCCAGTCTCTTCTGTTACCATTACCCCTGCAACTTGTTCTGCATGAGCCACAAAGCCTTCCTTGAAGTCTCTCTCATTCCGCCTCCTTCTGGACAGCGTTCTGCTTAGAAGTAGAACGCCCCACCCCAGCCCTTGATCTAGTTAACTCCTAAGGCATTCTTTAGCTCTTCTCTTAAATGGTCTTCCTTCAAGGGCTTCCCTGTTTCCCAGAGTAATATGCTTAACTGTCTATGTCTTTCATAACATCGTTTGCTGTTTCCCCAACTGGACTGTAAGCTCCAAGAGGGCAGGGACCAATTATTTTTGCTCACCATTAGATCCTCAACACGATGTCTGGTATAGAATAGGAGGTTAAAATTGATTCACAAAATGAATAAAATTAAATAGTATTTAGTGAACAGAATGAGGATAGAGTGAGAGAGGTATAATGACTCAAGTTTCCTGCTTAACCGAATCGTGGTGCCATTGACTGAAATAAGAAACACAGGAAGAAAAGTAAGCTTGGAGGACATGCTGAGTTTGAGGTGCTGATGAAAACTTTAAGGTAGAAATGTGGAGTACCGTGTGGGTAAGTGGGTCTAGAACTTGAGAGAAAGCTGAGTCAGAGATAATAAAATTCAGGATCTTGAGTGGGCTAGATCATTCAAGAGGAGAAATAGATTGAAAAAATGAAGAGGACTAATGCAGACTCCTAAAGAACAATGATAAGAGATGAGAGAATTAAAGGAGCTTATGAAAGTCTCATAGAAGAAATACGAGAAGAGTTCCCTCTGCCGAAGTCCCTTGTGTATCACTAGACCAAGTCCAGTAGTCCCCAGTCTTGACCTAGGAACTCCCTTTCTGTAGAGATGAAGCATTTTAGTAAAGAAAACAAATTTCCCTGAAGACGCTAGAATGAGGGAGGCTGGAGTCTGAGACACACGGGTTGAGTTAGAAAAACCTCCTCTGTGGACAAATGGTGAAGTCTTTCAAGAGTGATTCCATCTCATTCTGAAGGTAGACTCTGTTAATAGGAATATGGCCTGTTCTCTTCCTGAGGGTTTGTTGTGGAACTGTTCAGATTTCTCTAGTTACAAGGGATGGACTTTGAACTTTTATATCACCACAAATTCCATCCCTTAGCAAATGTCAGCAAAAGTCAAAACAAGCAAGCTCTCAGTTTTAAATTCATAGATATATAGGTTCAGGAATTTAAGTACGCACACATCTGTATTATACATGACACATTATGAAGATAGCTATAGCTTTATTTTAACTAGGATTCCCCCATGATTCCATCCTCCTAGTAACTGCACTCTTTATCGTGATGCATATTCTTGACATCATTTCAAGTGACTTAACAAAGGTAGTGACCTCTTTAAAGATCAGAGGGAAATGTGATCTATTCATGTCAGAAGGGCAATGTAGAATTCATTAGAACCTGCAGAAACCCACAGGAACAATCTAGAGTCACAGTTCACTGCAGCATAAACACAAGGAGATACCTTCAATGTTTGTACAATGGAGATGAGGGGCTTTCCTTATATAGGACCATGTCTGGGGAAGCTTCCGTCGCCTTGGCTGGTGTCCAGATTGAACTTTCTATGGGATGGAGGGCAAGTGGATGCTTGGTCCCCAGTATTGGTAGAACTGTGTGCCCAAAGGGGTCTCATCTCTCTCTCACTAGGTGTGACAGCTAAGTCATTTATTAGGCCAGTGGCACAAAAATATTCCTCTAGCAGTTACTGGTGCTTAAACATCAAGGTCAAAGTCACCCTCAAGGATTAAGTGTGGTCATATCTCAGTAGTGGAATTAAAGATGGTTTTAAAAATTCTCTTCCTAGACTTTTCTGTCACTTCTTAGTTTCTTTGATAAGAATATCACCAATGTTTTAATGAAACAATTTCTGATAGTATGTTGTCTGCCACACTATCAGTTTTGCCCTGAGCTGCTAAGCCCACCTCCAACCTCTTCTTCTATCATCCAGGTGGGCTCCAAGGCTATCTCTCTGAGCAGATTTGCCTGTGGGTCTTCCTGTAGGGGACATCTAATACTTTCCCTACTCATCATCCATGGCATCCTCTCCTGATAAAATAACTCTCTCTTCTCCTCCCCTGCCCTCTGCCGTTAGGTACCATCAATAATGTTGCCCAGTAAAGGGGCAGACATGTAACAAAAGCTGGCCTATCCGAATTTCCTCTGTGAATTTGATCTTTCACAGAGAGACAGAAGATGTTTGGAGCTGATTCATGTGGACAGTGGACCCCAAAGAGACTACAGCTTCATTACGGCCTTGTTCTGTTGTTTTCAAGTTGGTTCTCTGGCTTTCCCTTGAGTCTCTGAATGCGTCCATGTCCTTCCAACATATTCCTGCTTCTCTTCAGTTATCTAGTCTGATTCAGCTACCTGTCACTGAAGCACACAACTGACATGACAAGGCTGTTCCCTGGATTTATCCAAGAGGACCACTCCAGGCCAAACGTGTAGGTCTACCTTCGCTCCAGTGGATGTTGTCTGGTGCTAGTCTAGCTCCTCCCTCTTAATTCAGAGCTAACTGCATCAGGGCAGCCACCAATCCTGAAGGCCCTAGGCAATGGGGATGACTCAAACTAGGGAAAGTGTCTGGAAACACCCACAAGGGCTTACCCGTGGACACTATCCCTGGGCCAAGAGAGACTTTCCTGGCATTTGGAGCCTCAGAACTTTAGCTTTGGAAAATCCAAGTCATCCAGACCACTTCCTACCCAGCAAGGAATCTCTGCTGGAGCACCCCAGGCAGATAAGGATGAAAGAGCTGGGGGGCTTGTATAAGTGATGGAGTGCTCCCTCATGGGCTAGTGCTCCCTCATCAGGGCTCCTATGGCCAACCATATTGGTCCACATCATTCATCTCCCTCTTCCTCCCCACCTCCACAAGGAGCGTTGACAGATATCTTCCTGCTAAATCAGGGAAGGGATAAGGTGGAGGAGGATGTTGGTAAGTTACTCTTACAACTGCACCCAACAGTGGTGAACTCTGTTGGGGTCAAAGCGGCTGCAGCACAGTGGATGTTCTTGGTCAGCAGGATCTGAAAGAGCATCTCATGAGGTGTTTTCCTCCTTTTTTTCCCAGTGAATATGATCATTCAGGCATTACTGAGAAGGAGTCATGAGAATTTGGGCGCTTCCTAGGTGATGCTAGTGGTAAAGAACCTGCCTGCCATGCAGGAGATATAAGAGATGTGGGTTTGATCCCTGGGTTGGGAAGATCCCCTGGAGGAGGGCATGGCAACCTACTCCAGTATTCTTATCTGAAGAACCCCAGAGGAGCCTGGCGGGGTACAATCCATGGGGTTGCAAAGAGTAGGACACGACTGAAGTGACTTAGCACACACATACATGAATGAAATTCCTCATTAATATTTAAGGAGTGGATGGGGATCTTTGTGATCATTATCCTGGTTTGTCTGGGATGTGGGGCTTTGGTGGTGCCAAAACTGGGGCAGGAGATGCAGGTTGGAAATGAGGTGGAAATAGCAAGTGGCCATGGTAGTCCATCCAATTTGTCCAATTTAAGTGATGCAGCTAGCTTCAGTGGGGTGCAAACCTGTATGTCAACCCCTGGTCTTGAAGGTGGTATTGTTGTTTTGTCCCTAAGTCATGTCTGACTCTTGCCACCCCATGGACTGCAGCCACCAGGCTCCTCTGTCCATGGGATTTTCCAGGCAAAAATACTGGAGTAGGTTGCCATTTCCTTCTCCAGGGGATCTTCATGACCCAGAGATCGAACCTGGGTCTCCTGCATTGGCAGGCAGATTCTTTTCCACTGAGCCACCAGGGGAGCCCAGTAGAGTCATATTATGAGCTCTGGATTCTCCGTGACGACTGTAGTCTGTAACTGCTTTCTCCCACCCTCTCAGATCTCCAATTGCTCCTTCTCCCCCTGCTCGCCTCCAGCCTCATGGATTCACCAAACAAAAACTGTTAGCTGCAATTTGGCTTGTTCTTGAAGACAGAGACCAAACAGCTTCCTTGAACTCCACACTGGAATCATTCAAACATGAAAGGGTACATCTATAAGAGCTGGGGGGCTTGTATAAGTGATGGAGTGCTCCCTCATGGGCTAGTGCTCCCTCATCAGGGCTCCTATGGCCAACCATATTGGTCCACATCATTCATCTCCCTCTTCCTCCCCACCTCCACAAGGAGCGTTGACAGATATCTTCCTGCTAAATCAGGGAAGGGATAAGGTGGAGGAGGATGTTGGTAAGTTACTCTTACAACTGCACCCAACAGTGGTGAACTCTGTTGGGGTCAAAGCGGCTGCAGCACAGTGGATGTTCTTGGTCAGCAGGATCTGAAAGAGCATCTCATGAGGTGTTTTCCTCCTTTTTTTCCCAGTGAATATGATCATTCAGGCATTACTGAGAAGGAGTCATGAGAATTTGGGCGCTTCCTAGGTGATGCTAGTGGTAAAGAACCTGCCTGCCATGCAGGAGATATAAGAGATGTGGGTTTGATCCCTGGGTTGGGAAGATCCCCTGGAGGAGGGCATGGCAACCTACTCCAGTATTCTTATCTGAAGAACCCCAGAGGAGCCTGGCGGGGTACAATCCATGGGGTTGCAAAGAGTCGGACATGACTGAAGTGACTTAGCACACACATACATGAATGAAATTCCTCATTAATATTTAAGGAGTGGATGGGGATCTTTGTGATCATTATCCTTGTTTGTCTGGGATGTGGGGCTTTGGTGGTGCCAAAACTGGGGCAGGAGATGCAGGTTGGAAATGAGGTGGAAATACCAAGTGGCCATGGTAGTCCATCCAATTTGTCCAGTTTAAGTGATGCAGCTAGCTTCAGTGGGGTGCAAACCTGTATGTCAACCCCTGGTCTTGAAGGTGGTATTGTTGTTTTGTCCCTAAGTCATGTCTGACTCTTGCCACCCCATGGACTGCAGCCACCAGGCTCCTCTGTCCATGGGATTTTCCAGGCAAAAATACTGGAGTAGGTTGCCATTTCCTTCTCCAGGGGATCTTCATGACCCAGAGATCGAACCTGGGTCTCCTGCATTGGCAGGCAGATTCTTTTCCACTGAGCCACCAGGGGAGCCCAGCTTTAAAGGTAGAGTCATATTATGAGCTCTGGATTCTCCGTGACGACTGTAGTCTGTAACTGCTTTCTCCCACCCTCTCAGATCTCCAATTGCTCCTTCTCCCCCTGCTCGCCTCCAGCCTCATGGATTCACCAAACAAAAACTGTTAGCTGCAATTTGGCTTGTTCTTGAAGACAGAGACCAAACAGCTTCCTTGAACTCCACACTGGAATCATTCAAACATGAAAGGGTACGTCTATGTCCTCCTAGAAACAGAAGGACTTGCTTCTGCTGCAGATGGTGGCCTGATTACTTTGGGGACAGGGGGTGAGAGTTTTCATGTCCCTACCACCACCATAGCTGCCTACCTCTTAATAGAGATTACTTGAATAATAATATTTCACATGTAAAGAGTGCTCAAGTCGTGGGGCTATTTATCCCCATTTTATAGATAGGGAGACTGAGGAAGGGGGAGTTCACACAGCAAGTGACAGAACTAGGGTTCCAACCAGGTGGCCAGCTTCCTCTCTCTGTCTTCAAGTCTAATAACAACTCTTGAGAAGAAAATTTCTCTCTATGCTCACCTGAAAGTTGAAGGAGGAATTAGATTTGAACACTGGGACTTCTGGGTTGCCTGCTTCTGTCATTATCCACATGCCTACAGCTTGATTCACTGCACATGTTGCTGTTCAAATGGAGTAAGGTGCTTTTCTGCTCTGGGCCCCACCCCGTGTCCCCCCTGCAGAGGTGGGGCTGCTTCACTCCGGCCTCCTTAGTGATCCGTGTCCCGACTCTCCCCTCAACCACAGGTGTTCTCCTGTCTCCTTAAAGTAACGTTTCTTACCAAGAACACTTTCCCTCCCTTAGCGTGGGTGGCTTGTTTTGTGGAGAAGTAAGAACTTTCGTTTTCAATTATTACCAAAGAAGATGTAATCAGAACAAAACATTTCCACTGAAGACACCCAAGTCTTCCTGCCTGGGTTCTTGGTCTGGGGGTAGACTCTCTGCCTCCAGCAGTGCGTGCGTGCTAAGTCACTTCAGTTGTGTCCAATTCTTTGCTACTCTGTGAACTGCAGCCTGCCAGGCTCCTCTGTCCATGGGATTCTCCAGGCAAGAATATTGCAGTGGGTTGCCATTTCCTGCTCCAGGGGATCTTCCCCACTCAGAGGTCGAACCGGCATCTCCTGTGTCTCCTGCACGGCAGGTGTTCTTTACTGCTGAACCACCAGGGAAGCCTCCAGCAGGTGTTGCTCTTAACCCCAGAATGTGAAATGAGAAGCCCTCTTTTTTACTTAATGTTCTGCCTGACTCAGCTTTCCAGGGAGCTGAGATACCTTCAGATTCCCCAAGTCTTTCTCAAGTGCCTGCAGAAGTCCAGCAGAAAGAGATCAAGGCAGGGCTCTCGAAGCAAAAGCTAGAGACAGGCCACCCCCAGGGTCCCTTCAAGCTGTGGGGCAGGAGGCCCAGGAGGAGGAGGGGAACGGAGGAGGGGAGGGAGAGAGGGAATGTGGTACCATCTTCCTGCTTTCGTTCAGTGGCTCTCAAACTTCTTGGCCTCAGGACCACCTTACACTCTGAAAGTGGGGATTCCAAAGAGCTTTTGGTCATGTGGGTTTTATCTATGAAGACTGAGCCTTATTAGAAATTAAAACAGACACAGAATACGTAAGTATTTAAAAATAACAATAGTAGGACTTCCCTGGTGGTCCAGTGTTTACAAATCTGCCTGTCAATGCAGGGGACACGGATTCAATCCTTGGTCCAGGAAGATCTCACCTACCTCGGGGCAACTGAGACCGTGCACCACCCTGAGCCCATGTGCTCTAGACTCTGCACTCCGCAACAAGAGGAGCTATGGCAATGAGAAGCCCAGGCACCGAAACGAAGTATAGCCCCTGGCTTGCTGCAACTAGAGAAAAGTCCGTGCAAACAGCAACAAAGACCCAGTACAGCCAAAAGTTAAAAATCCAGTTGTGAATGAAGTGTGTGTGCATACTTGTGGGTGTGTAAAATAAGGAAGAGAGAAATTGATTGGTTATAAGTGATTTTTTTTTTTTTTTAAAACCTATGTAGCAAGGTCCTGGCTTCAGCTAATTTGGAACCCCTTCATGGAATTTAGTTGGGTCTGGACCAGCTTGTGGACTGGAATGGTGAGTCCAGCTGGGCTCCATTTGCTTCTGGAGAAAGAACTAGCAGAGGAAGGGGTATAAAGCTCAGATTGGAGGCAGACCTGGACTCCAAGTGCAGTCTGGTGCCTGTGGCCTGATTCTGTTCTCAGGAGAGGAGACGACGGCAAAGAGCAGGCAAGTCACTTTTTTGTGGCTGCCCAGTTGGCAAGCCCCGGAGACCAAAGGTGTGCTGGTGATGACCTGGAGCTCCAGGCATAACCACCACGCAGCACTGCTGGGCTGAGGGCCCCTCCCCAAGCCCGCCTAACCCTTCCAGGTGGGGCAAATTATATTCTTAAAGGCTGGTGCAGGAACTTGTCTTAGAGACGAATGTCTCTTTGTGAAAAAAAAAAAAATGTGTGAAGGAGAGAGGGAGAAACCCAGAAGAGTGAACCCTGAGAGGGCAGGAGCCAGGGCAGCAAGACCGCTCATGTCCTGTGACTTAGAGACCAACAAACAGGACTGGTGAATTGTCACTGGGTGACTCTACATGTCTCCAGCACCTCCATCGAGAAACAGAACCTCCTGAGTACCAGAACCTCCTGAGTACCCCCTGTTCATGCCTCCGTCTGCTTTAACAATCCCTCCTGCTCTCAAGCAGCCAGAACTCATTTGCCTGGTTTTTGTATAAATGGAAATAAACAAAAATCCATCTGCTCTTTGGTGTCTCACTTCTCCCAGTCAACATAAGAGTTGTGAGTTTCATTGTTGCCTGTTATTTGTATTTCACTCCTTTCTGCTATAGGGCGTTCCCTTGTATAAATACACCACAATACATATGCTTTCTATGTGCATGGACATTTGTAGACAGACATTTGGGCATTTTTTCATTTGAGGCTGTTGTTGGGACTATGGCTGTAGGGTTATTCTCCTACACATCTTGGTGAATATTCATAGCATGCCTGTGGGATGGAATTGCTGGGTCAGGGTATAGTATGCAACTTTCAGCTGGGCTAGACATTGCTGAACAGTTTTGCAAAGCCTGTGTACCCAGGTACAATTGCTAGTGGGTTATTTTTAAGATGCAGGAAGTCCAATCTCTTTATGAGTTAATGTTGCTGTGATAAGGGCTTCCCAGGTGGCACCAGTGGTAAAGAATCCACCTGCAAATGCAGGAGACACAAGAGATGCGAGTTCAATCCCTGGGTCGGGAAGATCCCCTGGAGGAGGGCATGGCAACCCACTCCAGTATTCTTGCCTGGAGAATTGCATGGACAGTGGAGCCTAATGGGCTACAATCCATGGGGTCTCCAAGAGTCAGACACGACTGAAGTGACTTAGCATGCACACATGCTGCTGTAATATAAACCTCTATCTGCCCCCTAAGTGTTTAGTAATGCCTAGCACATCTCACTGATCACTAATATGAATGGCAGGGTTTTTTTGTTTTTAATAAAAATCAAAGAATGAGCTGAGGTTCACAGCACAGTCAAGATGGTGTGAACAGAAAATGGCATGTGTGAGATGGTGAGGGACCCACGCGCTGAGCTGACTGTGATGCCAGGAGCTTTGGCCCCGAGGTGACTGTGAGAATGCCAGCCTCCTCTGGGGACCTTGGAGAGTGCCTCAGGCTGGCACAGAGGGGTCCAGGCTGTGAGTCACCAGGGCCAGAGGGACCCTAGCTGACTTTCAGATCATGAAGAAGACAAGATCACACAGTGTCCCCTCTGTGACCTGAAGCAGGGGGTGACTTCTGTGTGTCAAAGTTTCCAGAACACAGAGCAAAGCTCTGTCCCCTTCCACACTTCAGTGCATTAACCCAGGTGCCCAGGGCCAACCAGGACGAGGTCCCCACAGGACTAAACAGAGGGACCCAGGAGCAGTGTCCTTCCAGGAAACTGCAAGAGGCGGCACCAGTGCGGAAGCCCCAGGACACAATGACGCCAGAGTCCTCAAGATAGAACAGCATTGGGGAAGGTGACTTCTGGGCCTCACGACCAGGACCCTCCGTAGAATGAGCTGGAGCAGGATGTGGATGGAGTGGTGGGACTCCCAGCAGGGCCAGAGAGGGCTGTTGTGAGCTTCTAGAGACACTCGTGCAAAGCTCCCAGAAAACAATTGAGAAACACCGGGCAGAGGGCGGGGTGCTCAGCCATGGTGGGCGCCGGCCAAGCACATGTGGTTTGTTACTGTTTAAGTTCTGCCTCTGGAGGTGCCTCTGGGTGGCCGGGAAACTGGGGTACAGTCAATACTAGTAATGCCTGAGTTTATGTTTCTCTTTTTTTAATCCCATGTACTCCTAGTTTTGCAAACAAATATTTATCTCTTACATAAATCAATCTGGAGTGTTGTTTTCCCGGCGTTTGTCAAAGTTCAGTCCCCAGACCCTGGCCTTTACCGTGGTCCTAGCTATGTTCCCCTGCCAACAGCAGTGCAGTTCACCACTGGAGGCAGCCAAACAGGAAGGAGCGGGGTCGGAGACTGCAAAGTCCCCCTCGAACTTTCTCCTACATGCTCAGCTGGGACTGGCAGGGGGGCCTGTGGTCTCCATTGGGGTCTTCCCTGCAGCTCTTCTGCCCTCTCCTCATATATTCTGACTGACTCCAGGCTGGCCTCTCTCCAGGCTCTTCCTTTGTTGGATTGCTTGCCCTCAGCGATCTTCGCCTCAGCACCCTCCCCGTAGGCCATCGGTCCCAGCCTCCATCATCTCCCAGAAGTGCTTCACTCTCAAATCTTGATGCTGGAAGGTCTACTCTCTGGTCACAGTCTCTTACCCCCCAACGTTCTCATTCTCTTAATAAACACTGAGGATTTTTAAAAACTAACCCAGGACTCTAGCCTGTTCATGCTCTCCCGAGCCCCCCCCCCCTTTTCTTGTTGTCTGAGTTTTCTCTTGCCTCTTGCCACCTCCACCAAGCAGGACTCATCAGAGTCGGGGGTGGGGGTGGGGGGATGGTGGCAGGTGACGTTTCCAAGAAGGGAGCACGGCCTGAAGACAGCAGGTCAAAGGAGGAAAGACAGCCTCGCCCTTTTGACCTCAGGGCCTTTGCACAGCCGTTCGCTCTGTGTCACCCATGCTTAACTCCTGTCTACTCAGCTAACCCTACTCAGTGGTCCGGACCTCAGCCCAAATAGCACTTCCCCAGGGTCAGCCCACTCTGTCCGCTCATGACCGGCTCTTGTCTCAAGGAGGCGTGACAGTTGCCATGGTTTGTGTGTGTGCAGGGACCAGGCTGCCACGCGCACTGCCTGTCGTGTGGACGGATGAAGGGACTGACGGGAGAACAGGCAGGAGGCAGCCGATGGTGGAGACGACGAGGGTAGTGCGGGAGGGCCGAGGTGAGCTGTCTGTTACTGTCGGAAAGGAAGATTCATGCTCCGGGGAGCGCTGACCAGAGACACCTCAAGCCAGAGGACCCAACGTGATTGTATTTGGACACTGGACCTTTAAGGAAGTAATTAAGGTCAAATGAGGTCATACAAGTAAGCTTTAATTCAGCCTGACTGGTATCCTTATAAGAAGAGGAAGGGATGCCAGGGACGGGCAGGCACAGAGGAAAGGCCATGTGAGGACACAGTGATAAGGCAGCCACGTGCAAGCCAAGGACAGGAGCCTCAGCAGAAACCAACCCTGCTGACACCTAGACTTTGGACTTCTAGTCTCCAGGACTGTAAGAAAAGAAAATGTCTATTCTTTCAGCCACCCAGTCTGTGGTATTTTGTGATGGTGGCCTGAGCAGACTCAGTGACACAATTACGATCCAATTTTCCTTTAGAGTAACTTGCCTGCAGTGATGTGGTGGGAGGTCTTGACAACTGGCCCTCCATGGACAAATGACCCGATTTGTAGGATCTGCCAATTACTGCAGTGTCAATACTGCCCCTGCCGATTTCAAGCTGTTGGTGTCACATAACTGATGTCAAGTTGGGAAGAGATGTGCATGCGTGGCTCGTACCAGTCAGTGCCCCTGGGCTGGCTCCGGCACAGCACTGTTTGTCCGCCAATCCCTCCAGCAAATATTTATGGCAGCTCATTGTACGGCAGGATCTCACTTGTTTGTTTTTTTTTCAGTAAACTAGATATTACTAGCTTTCCTTTACTCCCATCCCAAACATAACACACAAGGACACCCACATGCTCCAGGCTTGCCTTCTTACAACAGGAGTGGCTTGAAAATAAAGCAATCCCTGCATTCAGCCAACAAAGGTCCGTCTAGTTAAAGCTTTGGTTTTTCCAGTAGTCATGTATGGATGTGAGAGTTGGACTACAAAGCTGAGCGCCAAAGATTTGATGCTTTTGAACTGTGGTGTTGCAGAAGTCTTGAGAGTCCCTTGGACCTGCAAGGAGATCCAACCAGTCCATCCTGAAGGAAATCAGTCCTGAATATTCAATGGAAGGGCTGATGCTGAAGCTAAAACACCAATACTTTGGTCACCTGATGTGAAGAACAGACTCATTTGAAGACTCTGATGCTGGGAAAAATTGAAGGCAGGAGGAGAAGGGGACGACAGAGGATGAGATGTTGGATGGCATCACTGACTCAATGGAGTTTGAATAAGCTCCGGGAGTTGGTGATGGACAGGGAAGCCTGGCATGCTGCCGTCCATGCAGTCATGAAGAGACGGACATGACTGAGCAACTGAACTGAACTGCATTCAGCTGTCCTTTACCCCTTGTCTTTCATGCTGGATTTCCCCAACACATTCGTGGAACGTGGGAACAGAGCAGAGCTATACACTATTGGCTGCTTTTGTTTCAGGACCAACCAGTTCTCCCTGAGGACCACAAACATGAAAGATAGTTCCCATTGGATCTGGGATCTGCTTTGTTCCCTCCTCCCACCCCACCTCATTCTTTCTTCACACATGCAAACGAGGTAATTCCCAGAAACCTCTGCTTT